CTACTACTATTACTACTACGACTACGACTACGACGACGACGACTACTGCTACTAGTAGTACTGGTCCAGTACTTGTAATACCAAAACTATTGCTGCTACTGCTGCGACTACTACTACTACTACTACTACTACTACTGCTACTGCTACTGCTACTGCTACTACGACTACACCAGCCATTCCCCATGTAGACGCTCGGTTTCGTAAGCACCCGCACAAGAACACACATCAGTGGCAGCACAGCAAACAGCAAATCAAAACCAGCTATTCCAAATGTAGACACGCGATTTTGCAAACACCCGCACCAGAAACGCATCAGTGCCATCGCAACACACAGCAAATCAAAACCAGCCATTCCCCATGTAGACGTCGATTTCGTAAGCACCCGCACAAGAAACACATCAGTGGCGCCGCAGCCAACAGCAAATCAAAACCAGCCATTCCCCATGTAGACGCTCGATTTTGCAAACACCCAGCAACACAGAAAGAACGATTCTCCATGCAAGTTGCTGTAAATTCAAATCAGACCTCACCAATTCCGAATCAACGTGATCACGTTCGGCGATGCACCCCCCGGGGTGCTTCCCCCCAGTGTGGGCTGACTTAGCTGTGTCACAGTAGGGTGTGCGATGCATATGATGCTCTTATGTTCAGGGGCTTTGGCAATGGGAGTAGTCTACCCCTTAGACCGCAGAATGTTACGACTTATGGTTTTCGTCCCCCGAGTGTCTGCAGTGATTTACTGACACGCGTTACGACTTCGGTAGTGCCTTGTAGTACTACGACGACGACAATCACAATCTTGAATAGCAAGGTTCCCATAACAGAAAACAAACTCCAAACCTCAGCAGTCCTATGCCGAATCCCTAAAGCGGTCCCCTAAACCCTAAACCCTAAACCCCAAACCCTAACCCGAAACCGTCCTGACTTTGACTCTGGAAAGCTTTCTCTTCTCGTCTTCTTTGGCAGAATCCAATGCCTTCGGCGGGGAAGAAAACGATGGGTTTCAGGTTCTTGTTGCCACGGTTTAGGGCTTTAGGTTTAGGTTTTAGGTATTGGGATTTATTGTCTGGGCCCAAGTTTACCTTAAACTCTAAACCCAAAAAATCTATACTATTGCGGCGGTTTAGGTCACATTGGGGGCCCCAATGTAAGCTCTGCATCCTAGAGCATCACACAGGCCCTCTACTAAACCCTAAACCCTGCAACCTAAACCCTACTAAACCCCTAACCCTGAAACCTAAACCCTACTAAACCCCTAACCCTGAACCCTAAACCCTAAACCCCCAATCCCTGAACCCTGATCCTTAAACCTTAAACCCTAATCCCTAATCCCTAAACCCTAATCCCTGATCCCTAAACCCCAAACCCCAAACCCTGATCCCTAATCCCTAAGCCCTAAACGGGGAGAACCGACCCAAGCCTCGAAGACTTCGCCGATTTCCACCTTTCGCACCGTCTTGCTGGCGCCTGGGCTTGATGGTTTAGGGTTCAGGGTTTAGGGTTTAGGGTTTAGGGCTTTAGGGTTTAGGGGTTTTAGGGTTTAGGGTTCAGGGCTTAGGGTTGAGGGTTTAAGATTGGCGTTTAGGATTTAGGGTTTAGGGTCTAAGATTTTAAAAGAGGGTTTAGGATATAGGGTTTAGGGTTGGGGGTTTCGGTTTAGGGCTGAGGGTTAAGGTATAAGGGTTTTAGGGTTCAGGGTCCAGGGTTCCGATTGATACCGTGGCGAGTTCGATCCTAGGGGACTACATCGGCATCCGTTTCGCATAGGTATTTACAGGCTAAACCCTCCTAAACCCTGCTATGTAGGCATATACGACCCTGAAGGAAACATGCTTACGCCTGACCTCTAAGGCTCCTGAACTAACAACAAGAACTTGGCACAACTCAAACCCGACAAGGGTTTAGGGTTTAAGGCTTTATCGGGTTGAGGTTTTAGAGTCTAAGGATTTATAGGGTTTAGGGAATTTCCATCGCCAATGCCTCGTAACGATCCCCGATATGTCACCAACAACTTCAACAACATCAAACCGATGCCCTGAACCCCAAACCCTGAGCTCGCCCTAAACCCAGAAGCCGAAACCTGCAACCCCCCGAAACCCTAAGCCCTAAACCCTAAACCCTAAACCCCAAACAGGGCTCTCTGAGTGCAGAGGGCCCTGCTGACGTCAAGATCGGTCGTCAGGGTGGTACCCAGCCTGCAGACCAAAACCTGCGCAGGCATTCCCCCCCAGGGTCCATGTACCCTAGTGATATACTTAGGCCTTAAAGTAGTCCCTACATAGGTACTTTGGAGCCAATGTATATACTAGATGAACACATGAAACCTTACGGATTTCTTGAGGTTTCGGGCTCTGCGGCGGGAACGAAAGATCAACTTCCAAGCAGTCGTGTTCGTGCATGCATCAGAAGTCCAAAAAGGTCGGGCAGCTCGTAGGAAACTCGAAGCCTCACACCCCAAACCCCTAAACCCTGAGGGCAGGTTGGGGGCTAAAGCCGGAAAATGCATACACTATAGGGTTTAGGGTTTAGGATTTAGGGTTTAGGGAAAATGCAGATGCCCAATCCTGAACCACTCTCTACCTCTTCTACACCCTCGAAGAACGCAAAACCCTGCTTAGGGTTTAGGGTATACCCTAACCCTATGGGTCCATGTACTCATATAGTATATACATGGACCCCAAAGTATCTATAAGATAGGGACGACTTTAGGGCCAAAGTATCTACTGGGCTGACTTCTGAACCCCTCCAAAAAGTTAAACTTTTAATCTCCTTATTATGGTTCATGTAGAAACCACAAAAGTCAAAGTCCTAAGAGCCAACCAGAAGTACACAAAGTATTTGTGCACATGGACCCTTAAGGGATAGGCTGAACCCCAGCCCAAAGCCACCTTCACGGACTCGCTCAGGTCGTTGCCGGCGGCATCCTTCGAAAGACTGTGCAAAGAGCCAAGAAAGCCTGAACCCCATGCCCGTTTAGGGTTTTTTGAATGCACTAGCCTCTTTCTCCATCTGCGAGACTTGCCCCTTGTGGGACGTACACGAATGCCGAGGCCGATGTCAGATTGCCATCTCCAGCAACCCTCAAAGCCCAAGGAACCAAAGGAGAGCACACTCGGAAGACCCCCACTCAGAAGAGCCCCGCAAGGGTTTAGGGGTTAGGGTTTAAGGTTTAGGGTTTAGGGTAGCTAAGGACCAAATGACCTCTAGACAGGTTTGCAAGTCATGTCCCGGATGCGGCTTTTTGTATAAGACATATGGCATTTGTTCCTTAAGGAATACAGTTCTAGCAGATACAGCATTTCTTCCTTGAGGCATACAGTTCTACCAGGAATCAAGAAGGAGCTCTATGAAGCTTACATCTAAACCCTAAACCCTAAACCCTAAACCCTAAAGTTCTCTAAGGATGCTTGCGGGGGTTTCATGCAGGATGTATGGTGCCAGGCTCTATCCTTCTATCTCAGCCGGCCCTTTAAACTGGGTTCTTGTTAAATGATTTAATTTAAGTTAACATAATAAGGAAACCATATTATTTACTATAGATCCCTATTATGGTAGCTTAAATTGAATCCCTTAACAAGAACCCAGTAAAAGCACACCCCTTGAAGTTGATGGGTCAAGCAGAAACAGGAATCGTCTCCGTCTCCGTAGTGTTTTTTTGTCTTCTTCGCTTTAACGAAGATAATGGTACATCGCATTTCTGGATGTAAAACAGGTAAGGGCGAGCTTTACATATATTCCTCCGAGCGGTTCCTTGCCATGCTTGAATACCTGGTAAAGACTCCAAACAGGCTTCCCCTTGCTGCTCCCGCACTTGGAAAGGACCCTTGGGGGCACAGCAGTCATCGAAATCAACCCTGCTGTAAACCCTAAACCCTAAACCCTAAACCTTAAACCCTAAACCCTACCCTACACCCTGAGCCCCAAAGATCCCAACAACCTGAACTAAACCCTAAGTACATCCTAAACGCATGGAAATCAGGCATCCTTGAGGGTGATGAAGCCCATCTTCCCATCCTGCAGACAGCACAGAGATGACAAGACTTCCCTTGCAGGGACACTTACGTAAATCGAAACTCGTTCACTGCTAGGCCACTTGCCGTTGAGGTTTACAGTTTCTGGGGCTTCGTGCTTAGGGGATCAAGCGGCCCGCCTTCACAGCTCTGCAGCGCACCCGAAGGCACCTTAGCGGCTTGAAACTACCATGGTATTGGGGACTGGCGCGGGCCGGTGGTTCTAGGGGCTTTGGGCTTACAAAAAGAGAGGACGCTTTGGGACGGCTCATAACTCGGACTTCTGCTTGAAGCTTGCTCCAAACATGATATGTGCAAGCCCTGCAGATCCTGGCCCTAGACCCTAAAGCCTAAACCCTAAACGGCTAAACCCCTCCCTAAACCCCTAGACTCTAAACCCATAAACCCTAAACCCAAACCCCAAAGCCCGACAGCTTGCCGTCAAAGTGCTCTGTGGCTGGCTCTCGTCGAGGGCCCTCTAGCACCTGAGTGAAAGCTTCCGATTAGGCTTTGGGTTTTGGGGTGTAGGGCTTAGCACTAGTTCTTTGTTCTGCTCGCAAGGAGTAGCAGGCTATGGTTTAGAGGATTTGCTCCCCTAAACCCTAAACCCCTAAACCCTAAACCCTAAACCCTAAACCCTAAACCCTCTTTGGTTTTAGAGGCCAAGGGACGGCGAGCCCGACTCCACACAATCAGACAACAGCGATCAAAGCGGGTCGACACAGCCGCGGCATGGCGCCGGGCCGGCCTTTATGTTTATAATGTAGGGGCGCCAAGAATTGCCTCTACTATTTTTGGTGTTCCTTATAATCAATATAGTATAATATCCCCGAAACCCTAGTCTAATCATCAAGGCCCCTATATTACGGCTGTTTGCCGGGAACACATCTGGTCAATGTCGTCTTCTTTTTTCTCTTGTCAGTACTGTTCAGCTGTCACTGCTACTGAATAGATTGGTAATTAATGTGCTGATGACTGATGACGGTCATGCTGACGCTGAAGATTGTCATTCTCATGATGGGTTTATTCGTTCTCATTATCACGGTTACCGGGCATGGTTTTCACGGCCATCTACGACGGAAGTAAGGACAAGACTATGCCATGCCACTAGGCAATACAAACCCTAAACCCCTAAACCCCTAAACCCTAAACCCTAAACCCCTAAACCCCAAACCCGAAACCCCTAAAACCCCCAAACCCTAAACCTCGAACGGCAGGGTCGGACATGCCAAACCCTGAACCCTAAACCCGTTGTGATTGGGGTTTAGGGTGTCCGGTTTAGGATTTAGGATTTAGAGCCAAAGTAGCCCCTGATGCCGTCAGCAGGCTCTGCGTGGCTGACACTAAGGGTCCATGCATGTAGTCCCTAAACCCTAAACCCTAAACCCTAAACCCTAAACCCTAAACCCTAAACCCTTGTACACAAAACAGACCAAAAGTCTCATACTCGAGAGCACTTGGACCCATAGGGTTCGGCTTGAGCCTCAAGGGCTTTTGCCTTAATTAAAGGAAACTACAGGTGGGGAGTTTAGGGCATCTAGTGCTTCTGTAAGGCTTCCATAAGGTATATAGACCTTCTATAAGGCTCCTATAACGGTAACTACCCACCTGATTATGTCCTAGACTTAAGGGCAGCTGAAAGAAGAACTGATGATGTCCTGGGCCGTGCGCTTCAACGACTTGCCCAGCATGGATCTTCAGCACCTCCCAAGAACAGGTTTGGGGGTGGGGGGTGGGGGGGACCCTGAATCCTAAACCCTAAAAACCCTAAAACCCTAAACCCTAAAAACCCTGAAACCGACCCTAAAACCCTAAGCCCTAAAAACCCTAAAACCCAGAACCCTAAGCCCTAAAACCCAAAACCCTAAGCCCTAAAACCCAAAACAAAAATAATGAGTAGCCCTTTTATAGAACGTTACGTTGCTTGTATAGAACCCTGTATACCCTTTACAGGGGCCCTCCCTAATCAAGTTGTTGAGGCCCTAGACCCAATACCCCAAAAACCCTAAACCCGAATAAGGGTTTAGGGTTTAACGGTTCATTATGGGGTTTAAGGTGAAAGGGTTCAGGGCCTTAGGGTCTCCGGGTTTAGGACCCTAAACCCTAAACCCTAAACCCTAAACCAAAGATTCCGGGCCTCAGCGCTGCTTGCCTCGAAGGCTCCCTGGAGGATAAACTCCTGCATTGGAGCCACCGGGATGCTTAACGAATTTTCGGGGCTATATATATATATATATGTTAGGTTTT